ACTTAATGCTCCTGGAATGTTCTGCGTTCCTTTCGACGGGCGAAGAGGACTCGGTATCCCGGTTTTGTTAGATGATATACCACCACCTGCTGATAGTGGAAGTGCAGAAGGACGAAGACCATTACTTCGAGTCAAGGCATTACTGTTGCCTATATCATTTGGAGGAGCAAAGCCCTGAGCTGTCTACAAGAAATGTTATTTGTCATTGAAAGTCTAGGAGATGGTGCAACATTCATAATCGTGTTCCTAATAGTCCAACGCTTTCTAAGAGACCGCGTGGGGTCTCGGACGCTAGTAACGTTGATGTTAAGAAGATGGATATTAGTGAACTTGGATTTACGCCTGCCGAAACTATCGAAGATGAATTCGAGAGTAACGGAAAAACTTCGCTCGTGGAAGATTTAATTGAGGATACCGAAGAACTAGATACAGTACTCAAAATGGAAGTGAATAAAACGAACGAAGTAGTTAACTCTGATCCATTTTCCCTAAATGAAGCGCCCTCCTCTCGCGAACAGGTATAAATATCATCGATGTAAATTTTTATGATGCTTAAAAAATATCTCATATTGTTATTTCATTAGACCGTATCGCTAAAAGAATATGACGAATTAAGATTGAAACTAAAAATACTAGAAAATAAACGTCAGGAAGATAGAGAGAGAATGCGCGAACTTGACAAGTTTAAGTCCGAAGCCGAACAGTTTATGGCCGTCAAACCAAAACTTCAAAGTATTACCGTTATTATCAATTGATAATTCATCATTATTATTAGCTGTGTTCTAAAACAATGTTATAGGTAAAATGACGGAAACGCAACAGGAAGTGAGGGAGCTCAGGAAGCAACTGAAAGATATCAATGCTGAGAAGGAATTTTTTGAGAATAAGTATAACGAAGCGGTAGAATCTATGGAGATGATGACACTTGATAAAGAGATGGCGGAAGAAAAGGCCGAGAATTTGCAGCATGAAGTGAATATGCTAAAAGAGAAAGTTGAGGAGATTAGCGTAGATCTAGATGTGTTCAAGAAAGAGGGTGGTAAGATATATATTTACATTTTTTATTATTTACCTAGTCGAATATTATTATTCATATTCGTGTTCTCCTATTGAACCGATAATAGATATTGTTAGTCAATCTAGTCTCGATAGAGAATCAAGACCAACTGTCGAGATCATTCAACTTGAAAAACATAACGAAAGATTAAAAGAAGCTCTTGTTCGGTAAATTAATTTCTTTTACATGCACACTTGGTATGTCCGATTTTTAATTAGAAGTTCGCTTTTAGGCTTCGCGATATTTCGAGTGAACAAGAGGCTGAGCTCAATAAGAAAATCAAGAATTTGGAGAAAGAACTTGCTTCTTTGCAGGATATACAAGGTTTTTATATAACCAAATTAGAGCAAGCGTAATAGGCGTTTTTATCAACATCGATATCTTGTTGATTATTTTGAACTGATTTAAAAAATTTAAATTTTATAGTTCAGCATGATCAAGCCAGAGATCACCTGAAATTGGCCGAAATGCAAATTGAGGATTTAAAGAACCGATTGGACGATGCCAAGAATGCAGTCGACATGCTCGAAGAACTCTCGGAAAAAAATTTAATCCAAGAAGAGGCAATTAGGATTTTTGAAATTTTTTGTCTTACTATTTTGCAAGTGTTTACATAATTTTTTCAATGTATAGAGACTTGAAGAACAACGAGTGATTATTGAAGACCTTGAAGCCCTTAAGGAACTGAATGACGAACTTGAGGAAAGTCATATTGAAAACGAAAAGCAGCTTCAAACTGAAATTGGTGCATACTTAATTTCATGATTTGCTTTGCTTTGTAAAAAATTTAAGAATTAATTATAAATTAATTTTATATATCCTTTCCA